AAGACTAAAGGTAAGAAAACATCCTAAAAGGAGGCTTATATAGAGGGTAGTAAACTATATATATAATAATATAGTAATTATAGAAAGACTAGATATAATATATAAACCTATAAGGTAGTTTAGGATAGTAATAAAGAATAAAGTAGTATATAGTTTTAATTAATTTTATATAATATAGTTAAATTAACTTATAGGAATAGTAAAAAAGTAAAGAGAAGTAGCCTGCTTACTATATAGGTATGTTATATACTAATAAAGGTATAATAACTAATCTTACTACTAGCTACACTAGGTAAGATATTAAAGTTAGTAGTAGTAAAAAGAATATTATATATAGTTAAATTCTATAGTCTGCTACTAACTAATTACCTTAGAGCTAAGAAATAATTATTAGCTAAGTAAGCGCTCTTACTTCTTTAAAAGGAGGTTTATATAGTATAGTAAGGCTATTATATTCTTAGCCTTATTAGCTTTAATATAAAAGGAGTATATAATAATATATATAAGAAAAGACTAGTCTAAAGAATAAAAGCATAAGGTATTCTAGAGAACTTACTTTAGTAGGTATTAGCCTTTTACTTTAACTATATAGTTATAATCTAAATTAATAGGTAGTTATTTAAATTATAAAGCCTACTATAAGTAGGCCTTCTCTAGAGGTTACTATTATCTTTAATAATATTTCTCTTCTTTAATATAGATCTAGTGTAAAAATATATTAATAGTAATAAAGAAGTAATAGTCTTAATTAATAACTTTATAGTATAAGTAATAAAAAAAATAGTTTAAGATAACTATAAAGGTATTAAATCTATTATATAAGACGCTATTTACTAAGAAAAAAGAAGTAGTATAACGTTTAAGGCTAAAAAGACAGCTATTATTTACTTTACTTATAATAATAAGAAGTCTAACCTAAAAGTATATATAATTAAAGAACAGCCTATTTAACTAAAGAATTACACTAAGATCCTAGGAGTTATTATAAATACTTAACTTAAGTATAAAGAACATAAAGTAAGAGCTTTATTAAAGGGCCTTAAGGTAGCACTAAAACTTTAATAACTTTAAGGTCTATTACTAGTAATAACATAATAGCTATTTATAGTAATAGTTACACTAGTAGTAGACTACACTTTAAATATATAGATATACTAGTATAAAGACAAACTTATAGGACTAATTAATAAAGTATAGAGGGTATTAGCTAAGGTAATTATTAGCACCTTTCTTACTATTATAGTAAGTATAGTAAAAGCTAAAGCCTATATACTTATAGTAAAAAAGCGTTTCTAAAGAAAAGTAGTTAAGATATAGATAGATATCTATACGCTACTAAAAATAAATCTACTTTATAAGATAATATCTAAGATATAAAAGTTCTAGACTACCTACTGCTTACTACTCTATTAGGTAGCTAAAGCCCTAAAGAATATACTAATAGAAAAGGTTAAGACTATTAATATACTTACACCACTACTATAAGAAGACAGACTTAAAGTTAAAATTAGTAAAAAAGAGATAAAAGTAATAGATATAATAAGTATAGTCTATATAGTAGTTAGCAGCTTAGTAAGAGGGGGGATAGTAGGTATTAGTAGTGCTATAAAGTAATAGTTAAGGTTATAAGCTAACTTTAAACTAAAGTATTTCTCTTTTATATTAGGCTTAAGGTTAAAATAGAATCCCTATAGCGTAGAACTAGTAGTAATAGCTTATATATTAAGCTAATTACTATAAGGGGTTATAGGGGAGAGGATTATAGTAGTAATAAGTAATAAAGGTGTAGTGCTCTTACTTAAACAGCCCCTCTAGTAATCTAGATAAGTATATATATATAGTGTATATAACTTAGTAAAAGAACTTTAAAAAGATAATAATATTATTATAGTATAGTAAATAGTAGTAAGTAAGGGAGATAAACTACTTTAGTAAGTAAAAAAATAAGTATATAATATAACTAAAGATAGCGCCACCCTATAAGTATAGTTCTTAATAATAAAGTTAATAACGCTTAATATAGTATAAGTAAAAGTGTTATAAGAATATATACTGCCTAAAAAGGTTAAATAGTTCTCTAAAAGAGTTAATAAAGCGCTACTAGGAAAATATACCTACTAGTTATATAAATAGCTTACTTAGAAAGAAGTAACTACTCTTATACAGCTTAGAACTAGAATAGCTAGACTAAACTACTATTTATATTATATTGATGTAGCACCTCTAGATCTATATAGATATGGACAGGCAGTAGAAACAGTGAAGTATTTTCTATTTTAATATAAGTTAAAGCACCTACTTTCTGGCTACCCCTATATTCTGGCCACCTAAAAATGCCGCCTAGCCACCTACTTTCTTATACATCTACCCACTTTAAACTATCACCACTTTTTTTAACCTCCATTAAATTGCTTCATTTTTTCAGAATACCTTCTTCTTCACCTTATAGTCCAGTATACCGAAAATGAGGTTAATCAGGCCCTTGCCGCTATGGCAGATGGCATGTCGGCTCGTAATGCCTCCAGGCTATGGGGCGTACCACAATCAACACTTCAAGACCGAAATAAAGGCACCTAACAGAGGGCAGCTGCCTTTAAAGACCTCCAGCAACTATCCCATATCCAAGAGGCCAAGCTGGCCAGCTAGGTGCAAATCCAGGCTAACCTTGGGCTTGCGCCAACCCATCAACAACTAAGGGACTTTGCCCAGCGCATCCTTCATACTATTGGGGATACCTAACCTCTAGGCAAGCGATAGGTAAATGCCTTCCTACGACGGCATCCCTCTATCAAGGTCCAGAGAAGTCGCTCTATTAATTCTAGACGTGTTAATAGAGCATCTACTAAGGTTATTAGGGACTAGTTTAAATATCTTGCTATACTCTATATCCAGGCTATTAAACTAGCTAATAGATATAATATAGATAAGACTAGTATCCTTAAGGGCAAAGGAGCTAATAGGCTAGTGCTAGGCAGGGCTACAACAAAAGCAGTAAGGAAAAAGCAGCCTAGATCACGAGCCTAGGTATCTATTATTAAGTGTATATCTACTAAAAGTATTCCTATCTATCCCTTAGTTATATATAAAGGCAAGACGGTCCAACAGCAGTGGTTCCCTCTAGATCTTAGCCCTTATAATAGATAGGAGTTTACAGCAACAGAGAATGGATAGACTACTAATAATACTGCTGTTAAATAGCTAGAAAGAGTCTTCCTTCCTCAGACTATACCCTCTCAACCTAATTAGGCCAGACTATTAATCCTAGATAGGCATAGGAGCCATGTAACAACAGACTTTATGTAGTTATACTATATTAATAACGTCCATCTGTTATTCTTACCGCCACACACCTCCCATGTCCTCCAGCCACTTAATCAGTCAGTCTTTAGGCCTATCAAGTCAGCATATCGAAAGGAGCTAGGGCATCTTACTCAGTAGAATGATTCTACTGTTATAGGTAAAAGGCTCTTTATTTCTTACTATCAAAAGGCAAGACAAGCTGGTTTAACAGTCAGCAACATCAAAGCAGGTTAGAAATATACTAGGTTATAGCCAGTTTCTATCGCAAAGCCCCTTATAAGTGGCCTACTACTCCAAAAGACTATATCAACACCAACAACACCAACAACACCAGCAACACCAATCAATAACAGCAAAAAAGATGCCCATCAATCCCAGGATACCCAAGGTATAGAGGTCTAGGCATCTAAACAACAGTGGTCTACGCCAAGGAAGCAAAAGGACCTAGATATCCAGCTGTAATTATTCAGCCAGCTAAATCAGCTAGATCAAACTATATTTACTCAACAGCAGCTCTTCAAGAAGGTAAAAAAAGGCTTCCAAGAGCAGTCCTTTGCCCTAGCTGCCGCCCAGCAAAAAATAGAGCTTCTAGAGGCCAAGGTTGCTAGCACTACTAGTAGGAAGAGGAAGGCTGTTACACTAGACCCAAATAGGAAGTTTGCGACAATCAAAGCGGTGCAGCAAGCCCAGATTAAGGCTAGTGACGCTAAGAGTATGCTAGATAGATCTAGCGCATCAGAATTACCTAGTGAGGCTAAAAGCTGTATTATTATAGCATCTAGATAATGTTAGTAGTCAATTAAATAAAGTGGTGGTTATCATAATAGTGATGTTTTTAGGTGGCCGGAATGTAGGGGTGGCCGCAAAGTAGGTGCTTTGACTTACTAGATAGACAACGTTCCAAACTAAGATACTCCAGTGTACCCAGACGCAGAGGAGCAATATCTCCTTCTACCTAGGAGGCAAGGGCCCCTCAGACAATGAGAAATAGAAGCCTAACATACAAGCGGTCCAAGCGACAATACGATTTGCGCTAGCAACAGGCCGTCTAGACGTAAGGTGACAAGAAACAGGGTAGAGAGACCCCCTAACATATTAAAACTAACATAACCCTAACTAACTATTAACCCATGCCACAGAGAGCAGGCACCGCTTCAGCCGCCATAGATAGGACGTTAAACACTTAGAGAATAGGCTCCAAGATGTCATGCTAATAATACAACTACACCACAGGAATCCGCAGCAAGAAGGCAGACATGGAGGAGTAAGCAGGAAACAGATATATCACTTATGGGCTTCAAGGAGACAAAGGCATAAGCTCAGCAATGTACATGTAGTCAGCTTTAGTAGCCCTTTCGGCTTTGCCGCCGGGCGTAATAAATTGTGTGTGTGTGTGTGTACAGCAGCCAAAGTCACTAGTCTCGCAGCCCACCCCGAGTGCGTTCTTATTGGCCACTGTCAACCAGCTCTGATCTGTTAGCAGAAAAGTACCAATTCCAGGCGTTTTCCTCTTATGGTTGTTTCCGATCTGTTAACTATGTAAACTGCGAACCTGACCCATCCGAATGGTTTCTTTCCCACTGTCATGACGGGATTGACCTGCAGCAAGCCTCCCCCCTGAGCATTAACGCTTTCCTTTCCTCATCAGCCAACCCTGGTCTTGCAGGCTCGCTTCGGTGTATACGATAAACGCTCAGATCTCAGAAATTCAGATTGGTCGGCTTGCACCAGTCGGTAACAATCGTCTCCATTATGTGCGCCTCCCCAGATAGAGCGACGCGCTCAACCATGGGGTCAGCAAAAGTAACGTTCTTTGCTTTTGTCCATCTCAATCCTCCTCCGATCTGCTTGCCGTAAAGAGACGATCGAAGTTCTAACTGAGCGAGATCCATCAGCCGTTCGACAAGAATGCAGGCGTGCTGCAGGTCGGGGTACATCAACAAATGAGTTCCTGACGCTATAGCCAAGATTACTGGCCTCATGCTACGCCGCGTGGGCCCCTATTGGCCATGGCCAACATTTCCCCTGACATCAACGCTCTCTTTCCCTCGTCAGTCAACCTTGGTCCTGCTGGCTCGTTTCAGTGGATTTGATGACGGAGAGTCAGATCTCGGAAATCCAATCTGGTTGGCTTGCATTCAGCCGACAACAATCCCTTCATCACGTGCGCCTCCCCAGACATAAGGACGGGTTCAACCATAGGGTCAACAAAAGCAATTGTTATCCCTTTCGTTTACCTATTATAGCGTCTAACCCTCCTCTGCTTCTCTTGATTGTCTGTTTCTTAAGACTCCACTTTGTTCTAAGGACTATTAGTTTACATTTAAGAAACTTCCCTAAAGCAGCCTGATCTCGTCCTATGGCTTCTATGGGACTATTAGTCCCCTCGGCTTGGGCCGCCAGCCACGACTATAATATTACGATGGGAAACTTTAATTTTTGGCCGTACGACTGGAGGGTAACAATTTCTGCTCCCACGAATGGCGCCATCATGGCTCCCCGATATATGGCTGCACCTTAGTACAACATGACGCAAATGCCGGCTATGGGGCACTAATGCCTAACCTAAAACCGCTTCGCCTACACGTAGTACAATTCGTCTCCGACTAACATAGTATGCCTTTTAGACTTACGCCTTAGTAAGAACGGCTAGCTATGTCTGTGGCAGCTTCGGAGCATGACATCCCTCAGGTTAGCTCTTACCAGCGCGAAAGCCCTCCTGTCCAAAACGACCAGCACCGTAGCCCTTCTAGTTAAAGTGAGACAAAGATGAGCAACCTAGAGACACCTCACTGCCTTAACACTAAGGAAATTAAGTACAACAAGCCTATGAAGGCCAATTCCGTGACATTTGCCACCCCTATTGACCTCCTTATGAAGGCCATCCAAAAGAAACCCAATTCCGAGGACATCCTCAAAGGTGCCCTAGGGATCAAGCAGGTTGTTAAGTCGGAGTTCTCGTTAGAGTCTACAGATGCCCCTAAGCCTAAGCGATACATTTGCGACGTTAAGGGCTGTGGCAAGAGCTTCCACTAGGGCACTTACCTAGACACTTATAAGCAAGCCTATACCGGCAAGAAGCCTTTTGTAAGTTAACACCTAGGCATCTGTTTAAGCGGCACTGACACACCTTAGTAATGCAACTGGCCTCGTTGCGGACACGATTTCTCCTAGCCAGGCAACCTCAAAGTAGGCAGCCATCTATACGTCTCAGTAAATTCGACTAAGAGGCCAGTAGACTCACATGCGTCGCCACACAGGCGAGAAGCCTCTCTGATGCAAGCAGTGCAGTAAGGTGTTTGCCTAGCGTGGAAACCTCCAGACGCACATAGCGACACACACCAACATAAAGCCATTTATCTGCAAGCTAAATAACTGCAACAAGATATTTACTTAGCAAGGAAATCTCAAGGTACGCGTCGTTTCGTGCGTAGGCTACTCAATCTAATCTGTTAAATTACAGAACCATCAAAACAAATACCACAAGAAGACTCTCATGGAGATAACAGACTGGATCGTGTCTATCTCTGATGCTGACGCCCTGTCTGACGATCAGAGAGAGATGTATCGTTACTTCGCCAGCCTGTACAAGAACAGCAACAAGGGCATCAAGGGCCGCGGCAAGGACCGCAGGGTCAGCAAGCGTGGGGCGAAGTCCAAGGCGGTGCCTCCGATCTTGAAGGACGTCTGCAGGCTTGACAGTCTGGCAGTGTACAGCTCGAGACAACTCCATCCCCCAGGGCAGTACACGCAACAGCAGCAGCAACACCACCGACATGGACCAGTCCTCAAGCGCAAGCAGCCTTACATACCACGGCTTGACTGATCAATACTGCGATGGCGGGTATGACGGCGAGTCTACTCCTTATATGTAAGCATATGCAGTTACAGTGAGGTTTGGACGCGTGGGAGAGCTAGATACATTGGTTGGATAATGCACATAATGGTACGGGTGTGAACGAACCTGGCAAGGAAACTGGGCAGCCAGAGCACCCAGTTGGAAGAGATGTAACATCCAGGGAAGCCAGGTTCGTACTAGAACACTTCAACAACCCGATGGAATGGGTGATTGTCCTTACAAGCCTACAGGCTAATGCGTTCAAGAGCTTCGTTTTGTATGGAGCTGGACTGCAGGCATAAAATTCTTATAAACCGCTAGAGGTTCTTTCGCCGAAATCACGGCAGCAAAGCAATGTTGTGCGTATTGCTCATTAAGTTAGATACGGGCCAGTGAGGAGAATTTGGTTCACGGAAATATGATAGTTGAAGCTATAGCTATGGTCGTGGTTCCATGCGGGAAGGTCCGGCATCATGTTCCCAAAAGCACCGGACGGTCATGGATTCGAGCAAGGGACTTCGTTGGATCCGGAATACCAAAACGCAGCACAGACCACGGCCCCTAGTGATATCGACCGAGTTGAGATGACCACGGTGACAGGCCTTGCCCTTGGCCGCGCCATCCACTTCCGTCGCCGATGTTGGCCAGGGTGACCGGTGCGTCGCGCACCCCCCACGGCAGGCCAAAACCGGGGCCGGTGTTCTCCAACCATAGAGGGCTGATTGTCCCCCCCCCAGGTGGGTCGCACCAGGGCTAACGTTTGTGCCCCCGGCGGACGAAAGTGGCTCGGACCAGGGTGCATCTCATCAGGGGCCCCAGGCACGCACCCGCTGGCGTCGCTGCAGTGAAAGAAAGGTACCGGGGCCTTGGGGTGCGCTGAGCTTTGGAGCCACCCCCAAGCCCCGTGGAGTGTTCCCCGCCGGCGATACCAGACGGTACACCGTACAGCTCGTGACGCCCAGACCCGAGATTAGACGCGATGGACCGTCGAGTCGCCCCTGTTGCTGTCTGCCAATCACCGCGGCGAGACCCGGTGCGCTAGCCAATCACAACGCCCCCGCCTACATCACCTGTTCATCGCACGGTGCGTGTTGGTGGTCGGCAGGTTCAGGGACCGGTGTAAGAAACACTGGCTCTGAGCCAGGATACTCGCGCGCCAGGCATGGCTATTAGCAGAGTCCTAGGTTCAGCAAGATTAGCATCAACAGGCGGTAGTAAAGGTGCCAATCCTCCAGAGGCTGGCGCGCAAGTGCCAGGGGACCGTCAGCACTATTCAGCAGTGTATAAATATACTCCTCTAAATTCCTTATTACAAGCCGCACCTTATGTTAAGCTTAGAGACATCGCGTGATACTGGAGTGCTTCGTACGCGGTCCCAAATAAGCAAGTCGGACGGCACATCGAAGGGATTCTGCCTTACATAAATATATCGGCTATCAAGGATCTATACAACAGACAAGGGTTTAGTGCATTCATGCTTTAAAGTCAGCAAAATAGTGCAGCCAATCGGGTTAGACATGGCCCACGCTACGGCGAAGCCAATGTTAAGAGCCCCTGTTGACGTTCCAGTTGCTGACTGCGCAAAACTGGTGTTAGGTCACCTCCCATCTAAGACGTAGCTGGAATATAAGAGCTGCAGTCCTTGCTTTCTCCTTAGGGCGACGGAGTACATTAAGAAACATGCAGTCAATTAGCAACATGGCCGTCAGAAGCGTCCTATCCCCGTCAGGCAACTTGGTCCAGACAAACTGTTACGTCTTATAGATTGGTTTACTTATTTCTACTCTATTCCTTACACTACGGCTTGTCTACTAACACTGTTCTGCAGATCTTGGATAGGACGATCGTAAGTCTCACGCAGACGATATTATAGAGCGGCATTGCTGACATTAGGCCAGTCTTTATATTACTTTCAGGGGTAAGTGTATTTGTTACGCTATCTTAGTAGGACTAATAAGCCGCTAGGTTTTCTCTACTGTAATATAGATCTTAATGCTATATAAGTCTTACTACCTTACCTAGAAAGGAGATACTTACTAGTGTAGACGCCATTACGCTAAAGACCCTATACTACTATTATGATAATATATTGCCTAAGAAGTTTAAGATCTATAGCAAGGTGTGTCTATTACTTATCCTAGCTAAGACAGTCACTAATAAGCCGTTCTAGCTTAGCTTTATTATAGCACTAATGTTTATGTTATCTATTAGCTATGTATAAATCTCTGTCCTGTTCTTGTATTAGCGTGTTATATTTACTAATAAGGTATTTAGGGTTATATTTTATATCTTAATAGTGGTTATATTTACTATAACCCTTGTTATAGCTGTGTTGTTTCTTACCTGCCTTAGAAACTTGTCTCTTAACGTTATTACCTTGCTTCTTGCTATAGCTTCCTTAAATATTACTATAGATATTGTCTTAGTTGTCCTACCTATACTCTGAGTATTTGGACTTTAGATGCTCTTTAAGTATAAGCTTCTTGTCTTAGGATTCTTTAGCCTAGGCTTGATGTATGTTAGTTGTCTCTTTGATGTATATGACAACCAACTGCTATTCTAGAACGGCTAGTGTATCTGCTGTGCGCCTTGTCCTTCTCCTGTAGCTTTGAGACAGCTCTGACTTCATATGGGACGCTGCTCTAGCTAATATAATTTTATATGTTAACAGTTACTAAAAGCCGCAGCACGCTCTAACTAAAACAGCTTCCTTGTAATAAACCTCCACGTGATTTTTGCCTGCCTCCCTGCCGTCCGTAAGTTCTTTAGGGACAAGCGCCTATCGACAGGCCCGGTCAACCCAAGCTATGGCGAAGTCTGCCTGTTGCCATCTGATAATGGAGGTTAAGCAGGATTACCTCCTAGAGATGTGGAGCTGGGACAGGTTCTAAGGACCCCTAATACAGACAGTGGGTCAACGAAGGCATTGCTGCCGGTATCTCGGTCTCTAGACTATTAGCGTATAAGATACGATTGGCTGTTAAATGGAACTGGCTGTGTCGTTTCGATTCTTCCTAGCTACTATGGACAAGTCTTAACTCGTGACGCGCATGAAATAGGCTAACGCAATAAGACGACGCCATACACAACCTTTACAGCACTCTCCCAGTGTACCTCATTGTCTGGTCTGAAGCAGAAATCGCCGTCACGATGATCTGTATTTCCATACCAGTTTGCCTTAAACTTTGGAAAAACTATATCAACAAGTTGGATATTGGAGATGCCAGACGATACCGACTCTAGAGAGAAGGCGATAACATCGAAATGAATAAGATCGGAGTCGTTCAGCTCCAGCCGAATGGAAGCGAAGATGTGACTAGCGGTCACCTTCAAAAGATAATAAAGTCCTCCAGAGATACGGCTGCAGGATCGTGAAGTCAAGAACACCTGCGACCATCATGAACCCTCCATGTCAGGTGCCGCGACGGGGCGCCGGGGGGCACCGGGGTGGGGCCGGATACAGGTAAACTATAGGCCGAGGGGCATATAAAAGGAGAAATCTATAGGAATCCTAGGGAAAAGGAAGGCTAGATAGGAATAATTATTATAATTAGACCCTAACTACACTAATTATTAACTCTTTTACTTAATACTATCTTTACCTTTAATATATTCTTATCTCTACTTACCTTTAGGTGTATTAACTATTAGAGTAGTAATAATACCTACCTAATCCTAAACTACAGCCTAACGTCTAGAGAGTGTTACTACTAGATAACTAACGCCTAATATAACTAGGACCTTAGTAGTAGATAAGTAGCGTGGTACTAACCTAAATAAGCTAATAAAAAAAAAGCTAAAGGCCTTTTTAAAAAAAAAAAGTAAAAAAAGTAAAAAAAAAAAAATTAATTAACTAGATTAAGGCCCTTTAAAGTAGTATATTTATAAAAGATATATTAGTAAAAGTAATAGTACTTACTAACCTTTAGTTAGAAACTAAGTAACTATATACTAATATACTTTTAAAAAAATTACTTATACTAAAGTATAAAAAAGAAAGTTAAAATAAGCTATAAGAATTCTTATTTTAACTAAAAATATACTTTAGTATAATAAAAATTAAGTTTACTACTAATAATAATAAGGTAAGCTATACTAGTGTTATACTAAAAAGTAACTTAGTATATAAATAAAAAAAATCTATAGGTTTTTACTATAATAGTAAAGTAAGTAAAATACCTTAAGGGGTTATAAAAAACTAGCTAAAAGTAAAAGTTACTAATAATAATATATAGGCTTTTAGTACTATAATAAAACTAAATACTATATAATAAGCCTTTAGTAAATTATACTAGTAATTTATTAATAAGTATAAAATAGTTAAAGAAAAATACTTTAACTTTTAAATAAAAAAGTAGTAAGTAGTTTATATCTTAAACTAAGTGCTTTTAGACCTAAAGGCCTATATTCTTACTAAGGGGCTACTAGCTACTTACTAAAAGTTAAATAATATAGTAAAAAAAGTAAAAACGCTCTTTAAGACCTATATAAAAAAGGCGTTAGGAGGATAGCCTAAGTAAGGTTAAAAGAAAAAAAGCTAATAAAAAGTAGTAGTATAAATAATAGCTATAGCTACCCCCTTAATAAAAGCTACTAGTACGTATACTATACTAATAACCTTAACACTAGTAAGTATACTTATACTAAAGCTAAAAGTTAAAAAAAAAAAAACGTTATAACACCTTACTTAGAGGAGACCTAAAGGCTACCTACTTATTATAGCTATAAAAAGCTAGAGTATATATTAGCTAAGTATTATAAGAAGAATTACTATAAGTATAAGTAGCTATAACACTTAAGGAGATAGTATACCTTAGTGTTAATAGGGGTTAATAGTATTTAACTTTTTTAAGAAAAAAAGCTATATTACTAATTTAAAGTAGACTTTTATACTAAGGTAAGTAGTATATAAAAAAAGAAGAAAGTATTAATTAATACTAAAGTAAATAAGAACGTTTTTTACTAAGGTATACTATATATAAAGGCCT